GCAACTTATGGAGAAGACGATGTTTAGGTACACGGTCAAACGCCCGGGAATAATCCATGTATATCATATCAGTCGGGACATCTGATTCAAAATTCCTTGTCGAATCTAATAAACAACAAAGCAAATTGGTAACAACTGATTTACCAGGAATAAACCCATGTTGTTCAATGGGAATAATTTTGTTGTCTAAAAGAAACTTGAACGTACTGTCATAGACAACTGTCTCCATGATCTTAACAACCACCGATGTTAAGCTAATAGGCCTGTAATTGTCGGGAGAAAATTTATCTCCCGTCTTAAATATGGGCTTGACAAAAGCTGTCAACCAATCGGGAGGTAAAGTACCAGAGTTAAAAGACTGAGTAAACAAAAACTAATCGGTTCACATAAGGAGGTAGCACATTCTTTTAGAACTTTGGCAGTTATATAATCCGGCCCTGGAGACTTTGTCGTTTTCAATTTTTGCAAGAGCTTCAACACTGCCTCAGGAGTGAACTGAATCTCGCCCATGTGGATGGAATTTGGTTCAAAAGGAATGTCGGCAATCTTTGCATCAGGCTCTACTATGAAATTTCAAGAAAAGTTTTCTGCAAAAATATCCGCTATGACCTTGCAGTCGTTTAGAAAGTAACCAGTAGCATCTTTAAGTTGAGGCATTTTAACTGGGCCCGATATGTTAGCGCGGATGTGCTTGAACAGGGATCCTTACTTTCCGCTGTTCGTTTTTAATACTCAACCCTCGCTTATCTGATTTTAGTGAAAAGTTTATTTGAAAATGTCCTATGTGCTTGATAGTCAGCAGCATTGGAAGTGCGCTTAAAGGCACGCCATAACGATCTTTTCTTCCTGACTAATTTTAGTAAGCTACCACTTATCCATGGCTTAATAGATGATCTGCTGACTTTGACAAAACTAGAATGTTTACCCACCATGTCACCTAATATATTTTTGAACGACTCCCAATTCGTAATAACCGAAGAATTACTAAACAATTTTGTCCAGTCAACATTACTGAGATCATCATTTACAGCTTTATATTTCGTCACATGTTAGGAATACGTATCGACCCTTTGTCTAAGTACATAGCACATCTGCAAGTTAATTTTTAATGTTAAATGGTCGGACTTGCCAAATAGACTTAGGTACATCAGATCAGTTAGGGAGCTGTCGTCAGAAGTTAAAATTAAGTCTAATAATGAGTCGGTTGAGACAAAATTTGATTAACATGTGAATTATTAATCACGTCTATAAATAACTGCAAAGAAGTATCGTGAGACCGACAGATACAAGGAATATTAAAATCTCCAAATACGAATATTTTGTCATATGAGTGATAGAACCTACTGAGGACATCAAAAAGAGTACGGTCGCAGACCAGTGATGATTTGGGAGCCCTATAAATACAAGCTAACACAAAAGTTAACAAGCTATTTTAAACCTTAACGAAAATAGAATCTACTTTTTCAGTATCACTTTCCAAAATTTCAACTTTGAAATTTGCTAATATTAAATTGGAAAGATATATACACACACTCCCACCTTTATTTACACGATCTTTACTGACGAATTTAATGTTTTCTCGACTTCATGAGTATGAAATAGCTGGTTTCCAGCTTTCGTTTTCTGTATCTTTGTTTGTTGATGATTGTTGCTGTAAAATTTTGGGTGTACTTTATCACTACCGTGTATATGAAATCTCTGGAACCCCGATAACTGTGACAATAATCCAAAAGTTTGTACACATTGGGATTGAGAAATGTAAAATTTGTCGACGAGATTTACATACTGTCCAAAAAATGACAGTTCGAAATCTTAGCGGACGTTTAATCTTACCCATCTATCCTCTTATTTACTCATCTCCTCATATTATTGTGAAGGTCGACTAATTTTGTTGTGTTGATAGAATTATACCACGTCATTTTTAGTCCTTTTACTTTGGCTATTACAACGTAATAGCTAAAGAAGATTAGAAGAATCACTAATACTATGTAATTCGATAACAGTAATTGGGACAGAAACTATGAGCATTTACCAAAATTCACCCTTCGAAATTAATGTTTATTGGTTTTAACACAATAATTAATAAAGCACTTATTACTTTTACTGCGACGCAGTTATTGTAGTTAGTATAGGTGTATATCTGTGCGAAGGAAACGATGTATTTCAAGAACATAAAGCTGATGAAAGGTATGTAAATTTTATTTGGGGTTACAGTACAGTTAATGTATTGTCGGTGGAATTTATATTGATCTGATACGGAAGTTTACAGACGCTTTTGGTTGTAGATGACTGCCTAAATTTTATAAGATGGATAACACTGGACATATTTGGAAATAAATATATAAAAATAATCATTCTAATCTCAGTAGTGTTGCATACTCTATCATTATTAATGACTATAGGACACTGTGCTGCTGTTTTTGATTCGACATCTTTAAAATATATGACCTTCGTATTTGCAACACCAGGAGTTAGTATTACGTACAAATCATTCTAACATCCACAACTATCAAATTTTTCTTATAGGTTCTAATATATAATTGTGCTATGTTCTTAATTGATTCGAGACTAAGTGTATTCGCTATAACCGAGCTCCGTCAAGTTTTGTGGTCCACGGACTCGGCCACAGAATCCACACAAAAACAAATCTTGAAAGAAGCAAAAGTGATAAAAATGTTTACGATTTGTAGCTGCATTTGGCATGTCATCACTTGCCTAGTAATTTTACCAAAGGGAGAGGAAAAAGAACTTCATTACATGTTAACATATATACAGCAAACATTTCCGAATTTTTATAGAACTTTAGAATTGATTTATATGTGTTCGTTTGTAATTCTATTATACGCTATCACATATTTATGTTTAACGGCAGTCTACTACACCCAACATGTAAAGTTTCAAATTTACTTGCTTCTAGACCATATTAAATATTTAAATCGTGACTATGATGAATGTAACGAAGAAGAGTTACTGTACTGCGAACAGTTTCAGAAGACTATGAAACTCAGGTTGCTGTTTATTGCCGAGAAATATATGTCTATAAGAGAGTACGTTGCCTTTTTTGTATTATTTAGGATTATATTTGAAATTTCAGAGTTTATTATGTGTATAAAAAAGAATCCGTTATTCTAATCCCATTGCTAACATTAGGAGCAATTGCTATTAGTTTTGGTGGGATAATCTGTTACTATAATGTAAGTGGGAATCACTTTTATTTAATTACTTACTCTTTTTACCCTGATAATAAATTTTGATTTTTTAAGGGACAGTATATCGAAAATGTTTTGCCACGACTAATAATTTTTGCTGTGGACATTGGTTTCACTTCAATAGGTTTCTTCACTTCTTATCAGGATTTAGAAACTACGGTATGCACTTTCTTATCGTTATGGAATAAGTTCACTTAATTATTTTTTTTAGTGCGATAAATGGTTTTCAGAACTTTACTTTTGCAAATGGGTTTACTTTAATAAAGCAAATCAACAATTGCTTCTCATTCTGATGAGTTGTAGCCTAGTACCACTTAAACTAGATTTTACACAAGACATTTCTATGAATTACGAGTTTCAAGTGAAGGTAAATAGTAATAACACTAAGGAATGTCATAAAAGTGATATATGTTTTTTATTTTATAGGTTTTTAAAACTATTTATTCTTTTTCGGCAGTAATGTCGAATATTGCAATTAAACAATAAGTATTTTTCCCAACAGCTTCAAAAGATTTACTTACTTTTCGCTTGCAATTTATAAATGAAAATTCTTTTGACGAAAATGCTGAAGAATATTTCATTTCTCTCACATTGTTTGTGAAAATACCGGAAACAGTTATTTGCACTGTTAGCAACGAATGTGTTCTTCTTTTCTCATTTGTATAAGTGCACCAACTAACTATAGAACTCGAAAATGAACGTTTCCTTCTTTTTGTCAACCCGCTTACATTTTGCTCTGTTTCCGCATTACATATAGTAAATAATTATTTCTTCGTAATTATCAAAACATTCTGTAAATTTAAGATATTTCGCAATTACGACCTGTTTTAACTTGACTACAGCAATTTTGCACAATAGTCGGTTAATCAAGCAGTTTTTAAGTAGATAATAGTTATTTATGTACTAAGGGCATAATTAGGGAGATTAAGGCAGGAGAAAATGTTTAAGACACGACGAAGACGGGCTTTTAATTTCCAGAGGGCCACAATCGACAATTATGCGCGTGATATACTGCGTACGGTGAGAGTGACAGAAAAGTCACTAAATCTACGCGAAGAAAAATGTACCATCCGCGCGAAATTTGAAATTTCGAAAACATTCTAATCTTAAACGCTACAAAACATAAGTTTTACATTATCTACTAGAACATTCATCTTTATTAGGGTACGTGTCCACTGGAGAACAACTCTCACGAGAGTTCTGGTTTTGATTTTATACCGTCTTTAGTCTTAAGAAACTCTGGACAAGCGATACGCTTACCCAGTTGAGGGCAGACCCGAGCATGGCCTTACGGGCTGATCTTGGAATTATTTTTCACAAGCGCCCTCTCAAATGGACACGTACCTTAAAGAAGCACTGGAGATGAGGGTCAGAAAAGTGGCCTAACCTTAGTAATGGAACTTTCAGTAGTTTTAGATTTGTAACAGAGACAGTGACAGCCAGCTGTGAGTGACAGCGTAGGAATTTCAGTGTATTTTATAGTGTTAGGTTGCTGCCAACTTACATGTCAACTGTCAAAATATCCCAATCTCTCGCCGGAACCACTATACATACAAAGTTTTATCCTATTTAAGTTTGTAGCGTCACATCACCGGGGCTGCGGTAAAAAGTCATCGCCTCTATGGTGACGAAAAACAATTAAAAAAGTCTGTTTTTCGAATCAAAAGAAAATAAATAAAATTTTCACTTTCAAAAGTTTTTCGATTACATTCACGGTCCTTCAACCACATTGGTGACTCCGACGTGATAAAAGTATTTTGAAAGCAAGATTTGCAACATCAAATAGAAGAAATGACTTCTCCAATCGAACTTTCCCAATCGTCTGAAACTGCCGAGAGCCAGCAGGTAAACGCCGCAGTGGGATCACTACCTCCATTTTGGAACCACAAACCGGAATTATGGTTCGCCATTATCGAGGCAAAATTTGATTTGGCAAACGTCACCGCTGAGAAGACAAAATATAACCATACTCTTGGTGCTCTTCTTCCCGAAATCGCTAGCGAGGTAGCAGACATAATTACAGCCCTGAAGCCGGAGGAGCAGCAGCCGTACAGTAAATTAAGACGAGCCATACTTGCACGTCTCACGTTGTCAGAGACTCAAAAAGTGCAACAACTAGTGTCAGGGCTGGAGCTTGGTTCTAGGAAGCCGTCACAACTGTATCGTCAAATGATAACCCTCGTGGGAGAAGGTTCAAACAAATCCGTGAACGAACAAGTATTACGGGAGCTTTTTATGCAACAAATGCCACAAAATATTAAACTAGTCCTAATATCGCTTGGTGACATTAATTTAGGCAAGCTCGCGGAATTAGCTGACAAAATTTTGGAAGCAGCGCCGATGACAGCTGTTTCAACAATCACCACTCGTGGAGACGATGCACCTACAGACGATGCGAACAGTCCATTGAGCATCTTGGTTAAAAAAATGGACGAGGTAATTCGGTTACAACGAGAATCTACCAGCGATTATAACAGACGCCGTCATGGGAACCGCAAGTATAACAAATATTACAAACGAACGCGTAGTGCTAGTCGGTCAATCACCAAAGGAGACCAAAACGTCAATGTTTGTTGGTATCATGTCAAATTCGGTGACAAAGCTTGAAAATGTCACGGCCTAGATTGTCAGTTTTCAAAAAACGCCGATTCCCGGCAGGAATTAGGGTAATTTCTGCCGTTGAAAGCGCCACCTATCGGTTGTACATAAGCGACAAAACCTCCAAGGTGCCATACCTAATAGACACTGGAGCAGACTTTTCCATTTTACCCGAACGCTATCGCGATAAACATTGTGCATATTTTCCGCGATTCGCCTTACAAACAGCTAGTGGTTCAAACATTAAATTTTTTGGTGAAAAGACAATCAATGTGAATTTACGTTTAAGGCGTAGTTTTCGGTGGACCTTCCTAGTAGCCAATGTTACAAACGCTATTTTAGGCGCTGATTTTCTTGGACATTATAAACTCTTAGTTGATGTTAGTGGCAAAAAGCTTATAGACACATTAACTTCAGTTTCAGTATCATGTTCCGCAAAGGAGTCCAACGAAATTGGTATACATGCGCTGTTCCAGAAGACCGAAAACGTATATCAGGACCTCCTGCGTAAATTTCCCGAAGTTATCCGCCCCCTCAACATTTTTCGAGAGCCGAAGCATACTGTTCTTCACCATATTCAGACGAAAGACCCGCCAGTTTCTCACAGAGCTCGAAGACTTCCTCCTGAGAAGCTGAAAATCGCTAAAAAAGAATTTGACGAGATGCTAAAACTGGGGATAATACAACCGTCGTCATCCCCGTGGGCAAGTCCTCTATACCTTGTGCCCAAACAAGATAACAGTTGGAGGCCATGTGGAGACTTTCGATCATTGAACGCGGTAACGATACCGGATAAGTTTCCTATTCCACATATTCAGGATTTCAGTCATTGCCTCTACGGCAAGAAAGTTTTTTCATCTCTTGATCTTGTTAAAGCTTATCACCAGATACCAGTTGCGGCGGCAGATCGATCCAAAACAGCTGTAATTACACCATTTGGTTTCTTCGAATTTCTGCGAACACCATTTGGCCTGAGGAATGCTGCACAATCTTTTCAACGCTTCATAGATCAAGTCTTGCACGGTTTAGACTTTACTTATGCCTACTTAGACAACATACTAATAGCATCCTAGACTCCTGGAGAACATCTCCAGCATCTAGAGATGGTCTTAAGACGACTTAGTCAACACGATCTAGTCATTAACCCAAAGAAATGTGTTTTTGTCGTAGACACTCTTAAATTCTTAGGTGTTCAAGTTTCGTCAGATGGCATCAAACCTCTAGTAGAAAAAGTTCAGGCTGTACAAGACATGGAATTTCCGAAAACTTCAAAGGCTCTACAAAGATTTTTGGGAACAATTAACTACTACCGGCGTTGGATCCCGAATGCTGCCGAGTTACAATCTCCATTGAACTGTTTACTAAATGGCTGCACTCGTAAAGACCGACCAATTATCAGTACTCCAGAAGTAGTTGAAGCATTCGACAAATGCAAATCTTCTTTGCTGAACGTGGCTCGTTTAACGTATCCAGCACCTCACAGTAAGTTGAGCATTGCAATTGATGCCTCCGATACTGCCGTTGGCGGTGTTTTGCAACAACTCGTGGACAACGAACAACAACCCATTGCTTTCTTCTCGAAAAAACTCACCAGCACAGAAAAACGCTACAGCACTTACGACAGAGAGTTGCTTGCTATTTACACAACAATTCTCCACTTTCAACATTTCCTTGAGGGTCGTATTTTTACAATTTTCTGCGACCACAAACCTTTGATACATGCGTTTCAGAAAAAAACAGAAAAATCCAGCCCTCGCCAAGCACGACAGCTTGATTTAATATCGCAATATTCTACCGACATTCAGTATATCAATGGTATCAATAACGTGCCTGCCGACATGCTTTCGAGAATTGCTACAATCTCTTGCAAAGCTCTAGACTCTTCAGTGCTAGCTACAGCACAAGCTGATGATCCCGATCTCCAACTCTTGAAACAAGAAGGCAAATTCACCTTTCAAGAAATTCAAGATCCTTTGTCAGCTCAGCATCTCTGGTACGAAACGACGCTAGGAAGAAATCGTCTATACATTCCGCCTCCGCACCGACGTCGCATCTTTGAATCTATGCATAACATCGCACATCCTGGCACAAAAAGCTCCATTAAATTAATTTCCATAAACTATTTCTAGCCAAGTATGAGAAAAGACACATCGAATTGGGTTAAGACCTGTCTTCAGTGTCAGAAAAACAAAATACATCGGCACATCAAATCGCCGATTGGCCTACTGTTAGGGTTAGATGATCCGACTAACCAATGGGGTCGAGGTATTCTAAAGGTACCTGTCCATTCGAGAGCAACTCTCACGAGAGTTCTGATTTTAATTTTATACCATCCTTAATCTTAAGTTGTCATTTCAAATTTCAGAGGTCTATTATTGCAATGAATTCAGTTATTACGAAAAAAATACACGTAAAACAGACTTATAGATCACTGTCGCACTTCGAAATGCGTTCGTATTGTGAGAGTCGCTCACAAATTCGGAGAAACCAGGTAAAAACGATACTCTTACCCAGTTGACGGCAGGCCCGACCATGGCTTTACGGGCTGATTTTGGAATTATTTCTCGCAAGCGCCCTCTCAAGTGGACACGTACCTTAAGTTGACAAGAGAGCTACTGTCGGAGGAGATTATTAAGTCTAGAGTGGAGGGCTCCTGGTTAGATCTATATCTTGTTGGTTGCGAAACTATTTGTTTACTAGTAATTCAACCAAAAGTTCAGACGAACCACTATAAGTTCTGTCAGTCTTATTAGAAATTGTAAGAAATACCCCCTCAAAACCACAACTGTCAAACTGTATAGGAGTAATGTAAAAGTTAGATAGGATTAGGTCTGAAAGGTATATGCAAACACCACCTCCTTTGGTGCCAATCCGATCTTTCCGAAATACAGTGTAACCCTTCAAGGAAACCAAGCCATCCACCACTGTAGGTCCCAATTAACAGAACAATAGATGGTTTCTCGTGCTCAATCAAGGAACAAAAGTCGTTATATTTAGCTGAGAGTGATGCAATGTTAGAGTAGGCTATTGAATATAGAAAATAGTTATAATATAGTGTGAATGAGAATATTAAAAATGAAACTATATATAGCTACTTGTCTTAAAAAGTGGATGGACTGGAAACTTGGGGTTCTTCGTTGAATTTTTGTAACGCTTTTTTCAGTTTTTTCTGTACCTTTGTACACCTGTTTTTTATACGTTTATGTTCAACAGCGGGGAAAATATCGTAAACCATCGAAGGAATAGCATCAGTGTCATTGGTGTATTGTTTAACAAGCCCCAAAACATCAGTTTCAGAGCAAATTAATCACCTGGGTGTGACTTTTAGCAATTTTCATCTTTTCAACAGTCATATTGAAAATAAGGTGAACAAAGGGAATAAAATACTGGGTTTCCTGTTACGACAATGCAACAAATTTAGCAATATGAGAACGCTACTATATTGTTCCCTTGTACGATCTCCATTGGAGCACGAGTTATTAATTTGGTCTCCTTACGTTGATGTTAACATACAAAAACTAGAGAATGTTCAGAAACGTTTTGTCAGATTTTTATGTTTTAAGTGTAATATAAATGATAGATCTAGTGATTATTGTCATTTACTCTGTTATTTTGGATTATCCGCCTTAAAGATACCTAGAAATTATTTTGACCTCTGCTTCATATTCAAACTTTGAAATAATGTTTGTCCAGGTGTTTTGTCTTTGTTTGCATATAATGTTCCTTCGCGGGATCTTAGACATTGTGACTTATTAAATAGATCATCTTATAGGACAAGTTATGGAAACAAAAACACAGTAAGTAGATTGATCCCGGTTACTAGTGAGTACTGTGGAAGCATTGACTTTTTTTCCACAAATATATTAAGTTTTAAACGTAATGTGCGATCTGCATTGAATATGTAATTCTCTATTTGTAATAAGGTAATTTTCCGTAAATAAATGTATATATAAAAATAGCCTGTAATTCGTGTCATCATATTTAATGAAATAATGACCATAGACGATGGGAGTTCATTCGATTCGTTTGGTTGCATGTAAACTTGTTGTCGAAAGCTTAACACATGTCTGTATTCATTGCCTTCAATGCTAGCTTTCAGAAAATACATTTTCGAAGCCAAGCTCAGCCCTAAAGTGGAGATTAAGTTTTCGATAAGCCTTTGATTGTGAGTTCATCGTGGTTAGCTACAACTTCGTCAACTAAAAGTTTTGTACTTAAATATACCGGGCATTTTTTTTTTAAACTGAACATAGGCCTATGTTCAGTTTTAAAACGACGTTGTCAATGCAGGAACATTGTTGGTTGCATAACCACGAGAAATCATTTGAGTAAAGCAGAGCTTTTTCACCGAAACTACAGCGTGTTATGCACATGTTCAACAATAAACAAAACCATAAATACGACAAAAATTTTATAAAACAAAAACTAAATTTTATAACAAATATTCGAAATGACCGCCTCCCTGTTCCAAGCAATAACCAAGTCTGTGATGGAATCCTTGCACTGCATTTCGTACGAAATTTGAATTCAACTCTTGGCAAGCTCTGACTATTCGTTCCTGTAACTCCTGAATTGTTTGAATTTCTACGTGATCATAAATTGTATTATGTAGGTGTCCCCAGAGAAAAAAATCATTTGGCGAAAGATCTGGTGATCGTGCAGGCCAAACTACAGGACCAAATCTGCCTATCCAACGTTCACCAAATACATCATTTAAATAATTCGTAACTATTCTACACGAATGTGCTGGTGCACCATCCATCTGGAACCAAATATTCTCAATATTTAGTGGTTCAATTTCAGGAATAATATGGTCCCTTAAAAGCCTAAGAAATTTATTTGCATTTAAATTGCCATCAATAAAAAATGGTCCAATGAGCCTATTGTTTATTAAGCCAGCCCACAC